TGCTAACATTGACTTAATTAATGCCGCTCACAACCCCTTACTCCCCCGGCAGAGGGGCCTGGGGACGGAGGCCTCCGCGCGAACTTCAGGCGCAGGGTGGAGGCCCCGAGCCACTGAGTCCCGGTTTCCCGCCGCGCTCCAGCCTTTCCAGTTGTGGGAAAAGACCCGGGCCTGGATTTGGAGCACAATAAAATGGAGCGGCCGGTCCTCTGGGTCAGCTCCTCCCGGAGCCAGTGGCACAGGCTCCTGACCGGTGCCCGCCCAGGGCCCTGAAGCTTGGAGTTGCGAGGGAGCCTGGGTGTGTCAGGATCACACCAGCCTGGAGGCCTGGTCAGCCTGGTCTGGCGCCTCCTGCTCCCACCCTCTGCAGCTGGTCGTCGGTGACCGCCTTCTGCTCAGGGCAGGTTCCCAACTGGCCACATGCTGCTGCCACCGCATTCGAAGGATGCAGAGACACTGTCCCGCCCCCGCCCTCCCCCACACACACCTGAGCCAGTCTGCCCCCAGTCAGGTAAGAGCCACTGGCTGGACCACGGCAGATGGTGCAGTCTGCTGAGAAGGCGTCGGGGAACAGAGGCCTCCTGCCCACAGGCACTCCAGGTCTGCAAGAAGGACCCTGGCCATGGAGAGCCGACTCTGCAGATCCTGGGGTGTTCTCCAAACACCTTACACTGTGGCATGTGTGTACTCCCACCCACCTTCTCCAAAACCCATGGTGAAGATGAGACACAGGGCTCCCAGGCCTTGGGGGTAGGACCGAGTGCAGCTCCCCTAGGAATAGGAGGCCACCTTCAAGGAGCCCCACTCGGCCCCACGCCTGACCCTCATTCTTTGAAAGAATGAGGGAGAAGGCCAAGGCTCCCCAGGCCCAGGGCTACCCTGCCACTGACCCCTCCCTCCCGAAGCCCTGAGCGCGGAGGCCCCAGAGCCTGGTGCGGAGGCCGAGGCCCAGGAGACAGGCCGCGGGGAGGAAGATAAACAAGCGGGGCTTGATGGCCGCTGTCATCATGGCCGTCATCATGGCTTTCATTTGGCTGCCTAATGAGTCACATCACAGGCAGAGAGAAAAATTGTCAATCGCCCGGGCCCTAATGAATTTTTTTGCAAATTGTAATCAAGCCAGGCCGTCTCAGCTGGCTGATTAATGAGACCCACGAGGCTCGGCCAGCACCTCAGCTTTTTATTCCATCCCGTCCTCCCTGCACTAAATTAACAGCAACTTGTCTGAGCTTCAAATTAACTCCCAATGATTAATTCTGATGGGGGGGCCTGAAGAATAGCTTGTTCTAATAGGCTCTGGCCTGAGATGCTGTTGGAAATTAATACACTTCCCCTTTGGCTGCCGGCTTTAATCCAAGGTTGGGTTTTGACATCACTATATTTGTTGTTACAATAAATTCCACTTACATCTGCAGATCAAATAATTACGCTCTGGAGTACCACGGACCTGCGCCCCGAGCCCATGCAATGGGACGCGGTGGGGCTCTCTGCACCAGGTGTCCACCGATGGGGCAGAGGTCCATGGGAAGCCACAGGAAGAGCCACCTGACCCAGCGACCCACTGCCCTTGCTCCTCAGGGAGCCACACAGCCTCGCCCCTTTGGAGAACTACTGGTACTTAAAACCCCCACAGCCAAATATCCCCTAAAGCAGGGGCCTCTTTAAATTGGCCCTGAGCTTCAAGCAACCGTTCCTCCTCCTCCTCCTCCTCCTCCTCGAAGATTGAGGGTGCCTTCCAAGCAGCCTGAGCCACCTGCATCTGGGCGCTTGCCAACCCCAACCTGCGCTGGAATTTTCCAGACAGCGCATGTTTATGCACCAAGCTTTCAACTCCCAAGTCTTCAGCCCCTAGGGGGAGTTCTTTTACAGGGACCTTTTCAGCTCAGTGGGTGGGGTAGAGGCCCTCCAGGCCCTCTCCAGAGAGCCCAGGGGTGCCTGGCAGGACCATCCTGACTCTGGTCGCCTGCCCACCTAGACTTCAGCCGCAGGTTGGCTGCTGATGCGGGCACCTGCCTTCCAAGACGCCCTTTTTCTTGGGTCAGCCTCAGGCCTTCTTGTTTCTGTTCCCCGGAGCTTCATCGGCTCAATCATTTCAGCAGTGTGGCAAGCCTTGCCCAGGGCCTCTGAGGCTGCTCCCTTTGGACCAGGCTCCCCCAGCAGGACTGTGTGCTGTCTCCCTTTGCAGGGGATTCTGGGAGTACTGAAAGTACTTCTTTCTGGCTCCTGGACCATGGGATGAGTGTCACCACTCGGTTCTCACCCCAGCCTCTCCGGTTCCCTGTAGCTGTCCCCAGTGCCTGGAGCTGGTGGTTCGACAGCCCTGACAGTGCTCCCCTCTGGCCTGCTGGACGTGGGCAACCATGAGGCCAAGCATCTGGCCTCCCAGGAAGGAGGTCCCTGTCAATGCCACCTATGTCTGTCAACGGAGATGGAGACGCGGGGCCGCTGCCCAGGTGCACAGGGGGACAGGCAGCCTGCTCAGACGCCCTGGTACTCCAGGGCTCCTGGCCGAGCAGTACCCATTCCCTGCAGCTCCAGACTGGGGCTCCAGGGTAGGTGGGCTCTGGGGTCTAGGGGCCATTGCAAAGGTCTAGAGGGATGGCCCTAGCGAAGGGAGCCGGCATTAATCTTCATTTCAGGCCCTTATGGTATAAACAGGAGAAATATGATCTTGGTAACCAAACATGAATGCAAATCACACCGTCAGAGTAATAAAGCACCTGAAACCCCGACACACAAAAGCAACACCATATGTATGAAGACAACCTGCATAAATTATAAATTACTTCATAAAAATTGATTGCCTATTTGAACAGTTCAGAAGTGGGGACCTAAGCCAACTTTGGCCCTTGGTGGCTTTGGGGGAAAGGGTAGTACATTCCCCCAGCCGGCTGAGGCTAGAGTGGCTGGGCCCGTCTCCGCCTGCTGCCCACGGGCCTGCCTGGCACAGGGTGGAGGCTTAGCACACTTTGCAGGAAGTGCAGAGGCCGCTCAGTTCTCTAGCTCCAACCTGAAGGTCCTTTTGAATGCCTGGTTGCCAACAGAGCGGCCTCTGAGATGAACAAGGGTGTGTGGGCAGCGTGTAAACACTCTGCATGTGTGTGCGTGCACATGGGTGTGTTAGTATGTGTATGGTTGTGTGCTACCATTTTCACGTCTAAGCCCCCTTCTGGAGGGCTACCTCCAATATTCTCACTCCACTGGTGGAGCCCAAGAGGCAGCCCAGGCAGCCAGGAAAGCCGAGCGCCCCTGCACACTGCCTGCCTCTCTGGACTCCTGCTTTGCACCGCACCCCTCCCCCGCCAGAAACTCCTCCCCAAGGCCTGCACCTCTGCACACACACACACACACCCCGCAGAGCCTCTGGTCCGTCTCTGGCCCCCACCGCAGTACACCACTCGGCTCCCCCTGGCCTCAGTTCTCACCACACACCCTCAAAACCGCCACTGGGGGGGGTGCTCCCCACCCGGTCTCCTAGAGGACTATCTCCACAGTCTACACCGTCGCCACCTCTCCATCTCGGCCTTTGAGCCCTTCACCGGTTCGGCATCTGAGCTGCTTGGTCTCCCCTTTACTCAGCCCCACGCCGGTAGTCCACCACCAAGAGGACTCTGCACTCCTCACCCCAACATGTTTATGGCTCCTGTCCCCGCCCGGTCACCCCTTCACAGGAGCGAGGCACACCCTCCAGTCGCTGTCTGGAACAGGCACCCAAGGACTCCCGCGCTCTGCCAGGAGCTGCACTGAGACGGGCGGGGGTTGGGGGCAGCTCAGGGAGAGGCTGCGGGCAGACGAGGGGACTTGGAGCCCTGCTGCGCTCCGCTGGCCTCCAGGGAGAACGGCAGGAGACCGGGCGCTCTGAGATCCAGGGATGCAGGGAGGCCGTCGGGGGCGTGGCGACCCATCTTGCGCGACCTTGTTGGGGGAACGCTCAGGGGTCTGAGTCCGAAATTGGGAACCTGCCCCGGGGGTGCACCCAA